TAGACCTACGTGTGTCTTAGTTTTGCTTAACATTGTTTAAAAGAAGTGGTAAAAAGGCTACAGAATTTAATTCGTTTAGACCTACGTGTGTCTTAGTTGTGCTTAACATTGTTTAAAAGAAGTGGTAAAAAGGCTACAGAATTTAATTCGTTTAGACTTACGTGTGTCTTAGTTTTGCTTAACATTGTTTAAAAGAAGTGGTAAAAAGGCTACTGAATGTAATTCGTTTAGACCTACGTGTGTCTTAGTTGTGCTTAACATTGTTTAAAAGAAGTGGTAAAAAGGCAACTGAATTTAATTCGTTTAGACCTACGTGTGTCTTAGTACTCTTAGATTTTTAGAAGCAGCTTATAGTTATGTGTAGAACGCCTATATATTTTTAGACTAAATGTATTCAAAATATGTATTAACAATAATGAATGTACATAAGAAATAGACTATACTAATCATATGGCAAGGCTGTTGTATTTTAAGAATATTAGTACTATCTCGTAACAAACTTTTATTATGACATGTATAGTACATTAAATGCATATACCAAATTTTATATTATTTATATTATAAAACTCTGAAGGTGAGCTTTTGATTATTGAAACAACCGCTTTTTATTATCTACAGTTCTTTACCCTAACAAGTTTTGAAGAATCTCTATACCGTTTATCAATAGGATTTGAATAATCTTTGAATATTTGTTTGACTGAAGTACTCCTAATGACATTAAGAAACTGATATACTGGTGAATGTTGATTGGATGGTAATCACGAGTCATCGTCAGATTTTTATTAAGTTAATGCTCAAAGTGTCTATATTAAGCTAAAGTGTTCCTCTGTCTATATATATGTACATAATATATATATATATATATAGCTCTGAAGTTTAGTTCACATCGTCCTATATGTATTCGTCAGATTTAAGTACTGATTGTTATATTTAGAATTTACATTTATCGTGATTTTACAAAGACACTCGTAAAAAATAATTCGTTTATTAACTTGGGAAATGTTTCAAAACAAAAATAAATATGTAATTATTCAGAAAAAAGCTATTTCGTACAAGCTGAAAACGGAAATCTTAAAGAAACGGATTTAACCTCCCAAAAAACACACCGAAAAAAACGGAACAGATCCAAAATATTTGGTTTTGAAATTAGAGATTGTGCCAGTTATTTTTCATTCACTATTTAATTAAGGTGGACCCCTTAAAGATGAGAAACACGTTAACAGGAATGATGAAGACTCCGGTTATATAACACAGATTGGAAGGAAAAATTTCCACTTTCATTCTAGAACGAAAAACGCAAAAAAAAAAAGAAACTGCATATCAGTAAAAATAGGAGAAATGCATAACCTAAACATTGACAGGACGTAATCTAAATACGAGTATAAATGGAAAAGAAACGTAGGAATAGCCATACCTCAGTTCATATTGAGCTCTGAAGATCTAGCAGGGCCGTTCACTGACAGTTCTGAAGGGCTAGTAAGAACTCAGATTGTGACAGAAACTGCTACGCTGTGTTTCCTTAATTCGCTGTAAGGTGGCGAACTGAAGTTAGGCGTTTACATATGTCATGCAGGTAAGTATAATCCACACTAGGAGAACTGTATACACCATACGGAGAATGGAAATTAGGAGATACCTTGTCGTATTTGGGAAATTTCACTAATATTATTCATGACAATACAAATGAGCAGTCAAGTGTGAACTGACCGAGGAAAAATTTTCAGACACACCCCTCATGAAAAACTAAAAGAAAACAAAAACAGAACCATCATAATTAACACTGTCAATTGGAACTGCGTCAGTCAATATGTTTTTTTTTTGGTTGCGTAAATATATAATCATGATGTTGGATAAATCGTGAATTTAAATATAAAAGGAATTATGAGTTCTGTACAATAATTTGCACTTCTTTTTCCCAGAGTTTTTGCTTTCGATAAACACACGAGTTTATGTGTGTAGATTTGTTAATATACGTAATAACGCAGTATCAATCTGTATTCAAGTGATGGCGGTTTTAAGTATCTGCCCTTATATGAAATTGTGCTTTTTTTTTATTAGAAATTCTCTTAACAAATGGGATTATAATTTAGTGTAAAATGTTTGGTGTATTTCAGAAAAGTGTATATTTGAGCACGAGGTTTTAATGACTGGAGTCATTGTTCTGTTGTTTGTTTTTGTTTTTTTCTCAGCGTAAAGTTGCACAATGAGCTAAATGCGCGGTGTGTCTCACGGGGATTGACCCCCAAGTTCTAGATTTATAAGCCACTTTTACCACTGAACCACCAGGGGAGAATTTGACTTACGGAACAGGTTAACAAAAATAGTTGTTGTTGTTTGTACAGAAGAGGTTAACAAAAATAGCTTTTGCTTGTATAAAAGAGGTTAACAAAAATAGTTGTTGTTGTTGTTTGTACAGAAGAGGTTAACAAAAATAGTTGTTGCTGTTTGAACAGAAGAGGTTAACAAAAATAGTTGTTGCTGTTTGTACAGAAGAGGTTAACAAAAATAGTTGTTGCTGTTTGTACAGAAGAGGTTAACAAAAATAGTTGTTGCTGTTTGTACAGAAAAGGTTAACAAAAATAGTTGTTGTTTGTTAATTTTTGCGTAAAGCTACTCGAAAGCTACCCGTGCTAGCCGAACCTAATTTATAAGTTGTAGACTCAAGGGAAGTCGGGTAATCAACACCACTCACCGCCAATTTGTGAGCCATTCTAACCGAACAGTGAGATTTGACCGTCACTTTTGTAACGCACCCAAAATCCCAAATTGCGGAGCATGGTTTTTTTTTCTTACGGTAATGAGGCTCGAACCTCGGATCCACAGTTCAAGAAAAATAGAAAAAAACCTATATCTTATATTAAATTTCAGTAAACTGTAAGAGGGAGAGAATAAAGACAGTTTGATATTCTACTGATGAGTGTGATCTTGGATTTTTGAAGATAAATAAAACAACCTACGAAATAAAAATTCTTAAGTCACAATTCAACAAAAATGTTCCTGATTCTCAAATTACTGGTACGTACTTATTTTGACGTATCAGGATTAAATGCCTCAGTTTAGAGTATATATTGTATTTTAATCACAGATTTTATTTTTTCTATATGAGAACGTATAGATTTGATATACCATCAAACGTATTTTTATTAGTTTCACAAGAACTAGTCATCACTCTCGGAGCGGGTGTGATTTAATGGCTACCGTGCTGAACTGTATATCAGAGGGTCTATGGTTAGACATAGCCAGGTGGTTAGGGCGCTCGACTCGCAATCCGAGGGTCGCGGGTTCGAATCCCCGTCCCACCAAACATGCTCGCCCTTTCAGCCGTGGGGGCGTTATAATGTTACGGGCAATCCCACTATTCATTGGTAAAAGAGTAGCCCAGGAGTTAGCGGTGGGTGGTGATGACTAGCTGCCTTCCTTCTAGTCTTACACTGCTAAATTAGGGACGGCTAGCGCAGATAGCCCTCGTGTAGCTTTGCGCGAAATGCAAAAACAAACAAACAAACAAACCATGGTTAGAAGTTTCTGTCGCAAAAAAATCGTGCTTCGCACTTTGGGGCTATAAACGCGTTATAACAGTGATGGTCAAATCCCACTGTTCGATTCGAGGACCTAAGAGCTTGCTGTGGCTGTTGTTAACCAGCTGCCTTGTCTTTAGTCTATCAGTTTAACTCGTTTCCCTGTTTTAGAGGTCATTTAATGGTTTTCGTGGATATGCTTATATGTAGGTGTGAGAGAAAATTAGTGTAGTGGGTAGTGAAAATATAAAGGATTAATAACAAATTGTTGTATTTATACTAGGTTTACGTTTTCCTTTGAGTGAAAGTAAGTTAACTTATCATCGTTCACACTTTGAGCGCCACATGTGATGCTCCTATGAAGCTCTCTTCTAATCTCAAACGTTGAATCAAAACAACCAGTTCATACTGCCATGTTCACGAGCATCAGCTAAATGTAGCTGTATATCAGCTATGATACTCGGGTGCCTTAGCATTATGTCCTGTGAATCACATGTCATGCACAGGATAGGGATAAGGTTAAAACAAGGGACGGCTAGTACAGATTTACCTCTTTTGTAGTAATATCCTTTCGTATGGGCTGAACGCAGCCCAGTGGTTAATGTGCCAGACTGGGGGTTTGAAGTTCTGTGGTTCGCGTCCCGTTATAGCCAAAAATAAATTGCACACCACACTTTAGGGCCGCGGGTGCGTTATAAGAGTGACTGTCAAATAGCGCTATTCGGTCTTACTAAAGTAGCCTAAGAATTGGCGGTGAGTGGTGTTGACTAGCTACCTTCCCCATAGTCTATGACTTTAAAATTAGGGACAGCACAAAAATGAACAATAAAAAATCCGTCTTTATTGAAGTACTTTTGTTTCTTTGTTCGGAATTAAGCACAAAGCTACACAATGGGCTATCTGTGCTCTGCCCATCACGGGTATCGAAACCCAGTTTCTAGTGTTGTAAGTCCGCAGACATACCGCTGTGCCACTGGGGGGGGGGGCTATTGAAGTACTAGTTTACCCGACAAAATGGTTGTTCGGTAATTAAAAATGATATACATTATTCTATGGGCTTGCAGTTTTAGAGCTTACGAATTACAGTTTTACAGAGGGAATTATGTTGTTAAATTTCAAACGTGTAATGTGAATTAACCAGCTGATTTAGGACCATGCTATTCATTCCTCTTTCACATATTATTTCATTCGCTCATTCGCTTTTGAATAATAATTAAGTAACGTCTTATGAAAATCAACCAATGACGTATGCAACTCACGAACTTCAGTAAAAAGTTTGAGAATTTTACCAAGAACCATATGAGGGGAAAAGAAAGCCGCTTTAGTGGGGATAAAATAAAGAAAACCGAGTTCATATATGTCACACATTTCAAAAGTGACAAACAATTTTTCATCGCCAAAGGGTCTAGTAATACACAGTTGTAAAGAAATATTTATTTCAAAACATATATAATATTTCTTCCCAATTTTTCTTCCTTTAAGGAAAAGCTATTACGACCTTATTTCGTGTCTTATCGAGATCTTCTACGACGAAATATTGAAGAGGTGGTGAGGCAACTAGCCACGACAGATCCGGCCTATTTCCTGTCGGTTCTGGAACTGTTACAAGGGCGCAATTGCTCCCGTGTTGACTTTAAGAAAATCGATATGATGTTTAAGGTAAAACTATTCCTTCTTATTTGTATGTTCTTCCTGGTGTAGAAAGATACAATTAAGATGTCGGAGATGGAATGTCAAAGTATTGAAGTTTCATATATATAGATTAAGGAAAGGCAATGAATTAATATTATATATACGTACAGAGGGTTTGGTATGTTATATTAAAATTAGAACGATTTTGGAACGTCACCACGTCGTTCCAGTCCACTTCGTTACGTCCAGTCATACGCTGTCTGATGATTGTGCACCTTAACAATAGCCCTGCAGCGGAGTTTTCATTGCAAACGGCTCCATCGTAAGTTTGTCGCGCCCAAAGCATACCAATCCTTCCAGCTCACTTTCCACACTCAACTAAGCGTAAAAAACCTCACCAAAAAAACGACGGTTTCCCAGTACCCATTTCATCAGTCCGAGCACATAGAAATCCATAGGCGTTGCGTCCGGCAACCTACCATGCCTTCGTATGTAATGACATAAATACCTGTTTGATTCTCCAGTTGCTTCAGGTTATGGTTGGAAGCCTTATTTTGGTGATCTCATACACTGTTGGCCTCATTTCCAGTGGGAGAACCTTTTTGATTATACTGCGCACTGTTACCTGGGAGGAGTGAATGGCTTTTACTACTGGTGTTTATGTTCATAGATTTCCACTTGTTGCAAGATAGTACTTTTGCTTACCTTGATTGAGGCACGACTTATTTCAGGTGTCTTTCTCGATTGGTCCTGGTGCCCCAAGTTGATCCATATTGTTTTGTTTTCCAATACCATTAAGTATAATTGATATCCTCGTTTTGGAAATTCTAAATCCTCGATATAAAAACATCTTAATGGACTGAGTTATGAATATTTTGCATCTGAAAGAACTGTTACAGCATCTTTCTCAAAGCGATCAATAGTGGCGTCACATTTTCTATAAAACGCCAAGCAATGTCAACATGTAGTTCTGATACTACCGTTCCGTTGAGAATTTATTTCACGTGACTAACTTATTTACATTTCATTTATATTACATAACTTTAGTATAAGGTATCCAACCCTCTGTTGTAGATTATATTTTAATATAAGTTAAATGTTTTTGTTAAACAATACTTTCACTTATGATATTTTTAACATAACAAGTCTTACTTCTGTGTATTTTTTGTACTTAGGAAATGACTAACGGTTGCTTATTTTATGAAACAATGCAAATAAAATTATAATATCTAACACATGTCTTTCTGGGAATAGTGGAGTTTTCAGTATTTTTTAACTCACGGTAACTAGCTTGGGGAAGACATACTTAAATTATCAGATAAAAGTGTTGAATTTAAAATAGATCAGGTATGAGAACAAGAGGTTTTGGCTTTCTTTCAATAATAGCACTATTATTTTCTACATTTAACTCTCAAACAACCGTTTTGTTTGTGCATACGGTTCACTACTGATGGGGACATCGTGTTGAGATATATCATATTTCTGCCAATGGCAGAATTCGGTGTAAATAACTCACCAAAACGATCGGATGAAACAATTCATTTTAATAAAGAATCACGATAGTAATTACAATGTTTAATTGTAATATTGATGGATTTTATTCTTTACATTTTTTGTACAACTCCTATGTTATAATGGATCCTCTAACCAAAAAAATCCATAAGCAGTTTGGTGTATAGATAGTTTAGAAAAATGTGTTTGAAAATCATAGGAAATCCTTGGCTCTTTCAATAATTCTAGGGCTAATGAGGCTAAATAAAAACGATTTAAAAGCTCTAACCTTTTCAGAGGCTGATGCCTTTTTCATCAGATGAAAATCTCGTTCTATGCATAAGGTGCAAAAACAAGAGTTGAAAGACAAGTACCACATGTTTTAAAAGTTTGTAGAATAACCAGGAAAAAAAATGAACTGCCAAGAAAGCAACATACGAAACTTTACGGGGAGAAAACAAATAGAAAGAGGCTGAAAGAAAAATAATGAAAAAGACGATAAGCTAGAGGGTTTGCAGAAGAAGGTATGGTAACACTCTTGAGCTAACAGTATTCAGCATCATAAAATCAAGTAGTTAATCATGCTACTTCTTAGCTTTACTCAAAGTATACTCAATATACGAGCGCTACTCACGAGTGCGGGTGTGTTGAACTGCAATCTTGTCTTTGTCGTATTGGATTGGAGTTCTTATTGGTCTTTTGATTTTGGTTTGTTGATGCAAGCAGCACCTGTATTACACTGTATTTGTACATAACATACGACACCTTATCAACCTGATTCGTACTGTAAAAACCAGTATTATTAAGTCTATAAGAACTTTCTGATTGCTCTCAAAATGCCTGTCTGTTATACTTATCGTGCTATATACTGAAATAAGAATGACAACTACTAAAACAACTTGACTCTGTTTGTCATTCGACCACGTGATTTGTTTTCATTTTTAAATACGTAGGAATATGTAAACAATTTTGGTTGGCTTAAACCATTTTGGAATGGTACTCAAGGTTTTTGTTTTATATTTTTATTTAAAAAAAATAGCGGTATAATCCTGTTACTTACAACGTGATCGATCGGCCGGTCTCTTCTGTGTGTTGTTGAAGCGTTCTGGATTAATTTTACGTTCTTGAGATGTTCTGGGTTAATTTTGTTAGATCAAAAACAGTTCAATTTCAAACTGTACCATTGAATGTCTAGAACTATTTTGAGTACAGTTTGTCCTAGTTATCACGCCATGTACTTAAACACGAGTAACAGATGGAAAGAAAAACTTGATTTTATCCGTTATTCACTGTTGATTTTAATATAAAAAATATTTACTTTTCGACTTGCTTTGTCTTAGATGATATATTTAAATAATAATTCTCTTTTTGTGAGTTAACTAAAAATTAACAGCCTTGGTTTTGTCTTATAGAAACATTTATCGAAGTTCGAATTAAGTTAATGATTTATTACCTGGTTACTTACTGGTTTAGCTTCCTTTGAAATGAGAGCAATCATCCAAAGATTGTCGCGTGAGGAGCTTGGATGGCACGAGGGAAATAAAGTTACGGCATATAGAGGTTATGCATAATAAATAACTAAGTGAACTTTCTTGAGATGACAAGTTTGTGGACAAAAAACAAAACAAAAAACTCATATGACTGGAATTTCTAGAAAACAAAAATAACTATCAGTAATTGGAGCTAGATTCTAGTTAGTGTCAACAAATTTTACGAAGCTCAAAAACATATTATACATTGCTTCTACATGGTCTACTAATTCTGAGAATTACAATATCGTTCACAAACAACATTAATAATCATTAACATAAAACGGTTCAGACCCCTACCAGAAGGTGTTGACAGAGTTGTTAATATTAGTTAGTTACTCGAGACTTAGGGTTGCAGTTGACAGGTTCAACGGGCAACATTATATAAAGTTTGTTATTACATGAATCCTGTTATGCCAGCTTCTTCTGCTTGTGATCGACGCCTCACCAGTGTCTATGATAAACAGAGCAAGCCAATAAGCCATTTCAATACGATTACTCAAGTAGTCTTAACCTACATCCTGTTACATGTACGGTGAACATAGCAGATCACGTTAATAAGCTACCGATTTTGAAAATTAAAATGACAATGTTAATGTTGACTAAAGATCCTACTGAATTATTCAGTGATATAAAAAGCAGTTTCTTTTAGTAGGAAAATTATTGACTGGCTTAAAAAAGGCGTTTCTACCAGTAGTAATAGGTTATCGTTAGAATCAAATTACAAGTAATACGTTTTTATGTGTTAGCGAAAAGCTACGCAATTGGCTTTCTACGCTCTGTCTGCTACGGGGGAATCGCTGAACAACTGGGGAGGTAAGGAAGTAAAAGGTAGAAATATATATATATATATATTAAAGATGGAGAGGAGTTATTGGATACCTATTTAACTTTTGTTACTAAAACAATTCTTTTATATCGGCCACATCACTAGGCATCTAAATATAATATGAAACATTAACTTAACTATTTCAATTACACAGAAACCGGGAATCAAAATAAAAACCATCGTTCGAAAGAATTACCTCTAAGAAAACAAAAACTAGGCCCGGCATGGCCAGGTGGTTAGGGCGAGGGTTCGAATCCCCGTCGCACCAAACATGTTCGCCCCTTTCAGCCGTGGGAGCGTTATAATGTGACGGTCAATCCCACTAT